GCTAGTGGTTCCGAAGGTTAATGTCAAGAAGAAGTGTTTTCCGCATTGGAGACCTAGTCAAACTGTCAAACATGCCATAAATCTGGACAGAAATTAGTTTGTTTGATTCACTTATGAAATAGTGGAAAGCCCTCTTGCCCAGGCCGTGAGTGCTGCGTGCAACAGGTGGAACCACAGTGCCCACACCAGGCGCTCCTGGAGGGGATGGAGTGAAGCTTCAGGTTTTAGTGGCGAGAGGAAGTCACAGCAGGTGGGCTGGTTGGGTTGTAGATGTATCAACATATTTATTTAAGGTACATATAATATCATATAATAGTAGGTGGCTGTAAAGTTAGACCTCCAAAAGGTGCTACTTGTTGCAAGGTATCAACATCCAGGGTGCAGCTATGCGAGGCCCTGTCAGTTTATTTCCTCCAGTGGTTGGGGATGGACATGGGGGACCAGCAGTGATTCTATGGCGGGTGACTGCATCAAAATTCAAAGTGTTTTTTTAGAGAGATTCATCCTCGGACAGACATATATCAATGTTGGTGGGTTTGCTTAATTTGTTTGCTAAAGGGCAGATCATGTAAGGAGTGCGGTATACAGTACAATAACACTTCTAGGGTCTTCAATGTTGATGTTCCATGAGTTTCCGCTCGCTGCATTCACTCCCACCCCTCAGTCTTGCGCCTACGTCCTGGGGGCTGCAGACATGCAGGACAGCCTTTGGGTGTGTAGTTGTTTGCTGTTTGTTGGCTGGTTCAAGGGCTGGTGGGTGTGTCGGCTCAACACCCAAAGAAATAGAAGCCACAGATGAGGACCTTCGCACAGATTCACTAGGATTTCGTTGCACAATGGCACAATGGCTCAGAGCCGAGGAAACTTGTGCTCGTTTGGTATATGGTACGCTCTGCGAGAACCATGCGACTCAAAGTTTGGATGCCAACTCCGGAGTTGGTTTCCAAAAAACGTGAATGGAAGGCTTGCGCACAAATGCACACAATCAACATGTTGTTTAAATTTGTTTAATCCATGGTGCAATGTTCGCTCTGAACAGGTCTTGGCGTTGTTCGTTGAGTGTCTCGTATGGGCTCGTTGCGGGTGACTTCCGACTTCCGATGATTGGGTTTGGCTATAGTTGCTCACCAGCTCGCCCATGCTTACCCTGTCAGTGACAAGGACCTTCGATTTCCTGAAGACCGCTGTAAGGCCGGGTAAACGTGCAACGGAAACTCCTGGATTCATTATGTTTTATTAGCATTGGAAACCCAAGATGTCTACATATAATACGATACAATAAGTTGTCGGGTTTTAACTCTTTGTCAGCATTCTGGTGTTGACTGAATATGTTAAGGTGTCACTGAGTCTTCCATGCAATTTCCTGCCGAACTGGTGCTCAGTCGAGTACCCAGGAAGACTCTCTCACAACTCAGACCCCTGCTTGTTGGTTATCCAATCCAAAAAAAAACTGCAGAACGCATAGTACACTATGGGGAGCTGTTCAACTTCATTCAAGCGTTTCCATGGACTTTCTGGCGAGCAGTTGCTTCCTTTTGCAGTTTCGAGGTGGCAGAGATTTCCATTGGGGGTTGGTTTGGTTTTGTTCAGTGAGGGATTTTTCAAACTGAATGAACTTGCAAGTGAATTGTACAATTGTACTGTGACTTAGCTATCTCTCAAAGGGTGCTCGGCCCACGGTGTGATCGTTTGGGGTCCATTGCCGCCATTGCCCATTGAAAAGTGGTTGTGGCAGACGCATTAAAGGTGCTGCTTCGCAGGAAGTGAGTATCTCACTGTTCATAGTCTCCATTTTCTCACATCACCTACATTAACCTTCTCTGAGGTGCACAAAGTACAGCTGCCATGGTTCAACCCATCCACAAGTAGAGACATTCACCAAAAAGCAGCCTTTCAGGCCCTGCCCGCTCCTGCCAAGAAGGAGTTTGGGAGGGGCCGAATCAGCTTTCCACCACAGAGGTGGTTGACGTCAGAGTGACGTGGTTGGATGTTGCAAGAGAGAATCCTGTTCATTTTTGGGTTGTGCCTTCGGTTGATGCACTCAAAAGGAACATGTGTTGTTCTTTTTTGTTCCTTGAAAAATCATATCGGCCACAGGATGTGCCATGGGACAGTCCCAAAATCAGCAGACGCGTGTGCCAAGAGGAGTGTTCTTGGGTCTCCTTTGCAGTGGGTCGCCAACCAAGTGTGTTGCATCCCCTTCTTTAAGGAACAAAAACTATGCGTGTACCAGTATACCACCCTCAGAATCTTTTGGTCCCAGTTCAAGTGGTGCTGGTGGTCAACATCTAGGTGTTTGCCCAAGAATAGTCTTTGAGTCTTTGGGATTTGAGCCAAGAGTTTTCAGGTGATGATGGGTATGTCATTGGCATCCAAGACATGATCCGACTTCAAACTTCCCCCATCAATCCTCGTCAGCCACCAACACCATGGCACCCGCACCACCTTGGTCGTTGTCTTCGTGCGTCTTTTCTGCAGGACACCTCCCTTCTCCGTTGTGCCGCGGGATGTGGCGAGGAACTCAGACTCTCGCTACTGAGAGTCCCCGGTGACGCTGCGCCACGTGACTGACGGCGCCCGCTCAGGCGCCGCATGTGAACTCCGCTCCGCAGGAGGCTGAGCCAAACACGGCGGTCACGGCGGTCACCGGTGATGTGTCAAACGTCCAGACATTCCGCAACGGTCCATGTTTGGGCAAAGACTTTCAGTGCGGAAAGCTTGTGTGCTCCACCAAGCTTGTTCAGTTCTGAGGGCCAAGTTGTAGTTGGAAAAATTGCAGTGATGTCATATGTGGGCTAGTGTCAGGTCAATCAATGCAGCAGAAGTGTTACCCACATATTTTTGCAGTCAGTTCATAATGAATCTTGAAGACAATTCTACATCATATGTGGGTATCAAGTGCCAAGGCCCGTCAGATGTGGTCCTGCGGCTGCGGCGCAGCACCAGCCCCGACCTTAGGACCATGGAACTCCAAGACCAGCGTAGCGGGTGCACACATGTGCACACTGGGAAGTTTCTGTGGAATATGCTTGGTGTGCCAACTCATGCCATGTCGGAGTTCGTTTTTGCACATCTGCTTTTGTCGGAGTTCGTCAGCATGATGGAGCAGTCCTTCGGCCTGGAAACCCTTTCGGCCCCAGGTTTGCACTGCTTGTGGTGTCACACCTTACCACTATCATGGCCAATGTGAAGATGTATCTTGGCTGCGATCCGTGTCATGTGTCCATGCTTCTGAAGAATCTCCCGGAATCTCACATACGCTTCGAAAAAAAAAAAAAAAAAATCTTAGTAAGTCATGCGTGCTTTTGGTGCGGGGGTTGCCCAATTTCCAATCTCTGTCCAAGGAATAGATATCGTTTTTGTATGTTTTTGTACCTCCCTCAATCTAGTGATATCTAGTGCACCCATCGCACCTACTCCAAGATGTATTCCCGTCCTGATCTGTTCGGTGTTTTTCTGTGACAAACCGCTCAGGTGCAATCTCTCCGAGCCCGATGGTTGGCCTGGAGTACCGGTGGGCGAGAGGCGGTCGAAGATGAAGCACTTTGTGTCGCAGCGGGCAGTCTGCTTCAAGGAGGGTAGACATTTAACCCGTTCAATGATGAAAAGGTGCTTCATCCAGCTAAAGTGTTGTGTGTAGGTGTTTGTCTCAATCAGTGAGCCGAATCCAACCTGCGTTTACCTCGCCCTCCCCATCATAATGGCCTTAGGGTTGTCCTCGTCCTTCGGTTCTAGTCGTTTCTCACACTGATTCAATGACTGTACCTATTATATCCTATTATACACTTGTCCAACTTCTCTCACCTTCACCAAAGCAAGAACCAACCATTGGCAACAACTCATGGATGTGATTTGTGCGTGTACCATGTACCGGTCGACATGGTCGACATCGTTCGGTCACTCCTGTCCATCAGCGGTAGCTCCTCTGCACTTCTGCTCCAGGTGTACAAGTCGTTGCAGAAGCGCCTCACACGGAAAACCGTGACCCAAAACCGCGCGTTGCGGGAGGCGTGTGGCGGGTCGCTCAGAAGAGGGCCAGTAGGATCGGTTGGAGAAGAGTGGGGGAGATTCAGTCTTACAAGATCTTACAAGTTTTGCAGTGTCGTCGACCCACATCTCGATCCCGCAGGGATTGAAAACCATCCATTTGTCGCATTTGCGGGTTTGGACAGGTTGGAGATTCAATTCAAAGTGACCAGGTGGGCACTATATGTAAGTAGTTGTAAGTATCTTCAGGGTAGATAGAGGTGGAGCTGAAGGGCTTTCTTGATACCTTACATTGACAGAGGGATCGCCCAAAAAACTTTGAGCTGGTTCACTCTTGCCAATGCGAAGGCTTCCCATCTACCGGTTCGATTGAAGAACAAATCTGCCTAGTCCACAAAGATGAACACAGTAAGTGTCCCATCACTTTTGAGTGGCCATCGCTATTAGGTTGTTTTGAGTATGACGACTTCATCCCATTGGCTTTGATCGTCCTCCCAGCAAGTCAGACTCCAAAAAGAATCATTATTGCTATCCCTCAAGCACAAAACAAGTCGACTACTGGGTGGCCTTTTTATTCGCGCAACATAGCCCAACCATTTGGTTGTTTTGGGTTTGCATCAACCGAAGATACTGTAGATCCCATGACTCTCCAGGCCCTGGAGATTGGCAGTCAGGCGGGCGACAGTCAAGCAGATGTGGTGCCACACTCAGCTGGGCATGGGCTGAGCGAGATCACAGCTTCGGGCTCCCAAGGAGAGAAGCAGTTTGGGGGCAACAGCTACAGATTTGGGACCCACAATGACCCATTCGCATTCGCAGTAATGAAAGTGCCGGCATGTGCCAACCTCTGTGAGGGCCACCACCGGCCTCCGACGTTCTGAGTACCCAGTGAAGCCGTACATCGACCATCGTCCATCATTTTCGAGAGATTTGCTCAGCGCGGTGCCGGCCCAGCGCCGTTTGGGGCCCGAGACAAGGGTCGATTCGCTTGCGATTCGCTTGCAGAGACGACTATGGCCAAATTTTGGAGGCGATGAAGACATCCACTGCCAGCTACGATCAGTCTTGATGTGTTTCCTGGGCACTCTGGTCTGTGGGTAGGATAATGGCAAACGACTCTACAAGGAACAGCTGGTTGTAGGATGTGTAAAAGTAATATCATGATAAGACATTTATTACTCCATAGTACTCGTATCACGATGTCTATTATGCTCATAGGAGATTCATTTTGATACATATATATATATGTATAGATATGTGACATATGTGTTCCATATGGTTCTTCTTGAGTTTCCATTTGATGCCCTTGCGTACTGGGGCCACAGGGATGTTGGCGTCGGTATTAGTTTCTGCATGTTTCTACACTCTTGCGATTTGATTATTGTATACACTAGGTCTCGGTGGTATTGTGTGCCAGTGTAAAACATGCAACAGGGTTCTTTGCAGAGTGCATGCAATTCAGGACAAAAAGGTAACAAGGGGGTCCTGGCAAAGGTGTCTTTGTGGGTCTAATTTTGTAAGCCTTTGTCAGCGAACATCAGCAAACATAACAGAAGAAGCAAACTCAGTCCTCTTAAGTGGATCGGGTTATTCTCCACCGCACTCCGGCAGGTTTTTGCTGCTGTCACCTGCTGCAGTGGCACAGCAATGCGTCGAGCTCCTCATCATTGGTGACTACGGCACCAGGAATCACAATCAGGTGCATGGATGAGAATGGAGATATGGTTTCTTGTCCTTTGGGGACCCAACCAAAGCCCAAAAGACGCAAAGGTTGCTTTCCCCATTCATGCTGAAGGCCCTCAGATTTCTGCGGCGCCAGGTAAACGATATCAAGTGATACTGATGACATGCCGGTAGCCTTGCTTTCTACAACGTAAATGGGGCAGATGTTTGTTTGGCCTGTCTTGGATGATGGTCCTGTGGCTTCTCGCTTGGTGACAAGAGGCATCACTCTGTGTAGCAACTGGGTAGTCGGACGCCAAGAGGTGAACCATGAGACCAAATAGAGCATTTAACAGGAAACGCCAAGGGAACCACATCATCTGCGAGATATTGGGCCTCATTGAGTTTTATAGGCTTTATAGCGTTTCTAGTTGTGGTTGGTCTTTACTGTGGTTGGTGTTGCTTTTCCTCTTGATGTGTTAGCCATCCAAACCGCACCTCATGGCATTCCGGATGGTCCGAGCTCCCAGGCGGCCGTCGCTCAAGGCCTAGCAAAGCTGGCGGGGGAAAGGCAGCCTCAGGCGGTGGCGGCCATCGGTGGCTCGGTCAGAGCTCCATGTTGCCCCAGGGAGAATGACTCTTGATTGACTAAGTGCCCAAAAGAAAGACATACCAGGTCAGCAGGTTCAATTTGTGTCTTGTTTTGTATGTTGTCCGCGTATGAGAATGTGCCAATGGCTTGTTGAATATATGTTGGGGGGATGATTTTGTTGATGTTTGTGGCTAGAAATGATTACGGGCAACTGCCCACTTGCACTACACTCTGGCGGGACCAGCTTTCGCAGGGTCAGTTATCGTTTTTCCGCTGATGCTTGATGAGCATCCCAAAGGTCGCACTTCCTGTCTCACATAAGGTCTATTGCCTTCCCATTTCGCAGTTGGCAACACGTTGCAACATCATCCCAACATGACCCACTGAGGGGGGGCAGGTCCTTTAAACACTAGTTTTGGTCGTGACATGTCGTGACCAAGCCTCTCAAGTGCTTGTCATTGAAAGGAAGGTTCCGACCGCCTTTCTCTGGGATTTGAGTGAATGGATACCTTTGGATATGGCTTGAAGAAAGCAGGCAGGAGAAACGATTCACACCCTCCTGTCAGGTTTGATGCAAAGCGATCTTTACAGGAACAATGGAACCACATGGTGACCTCAAGCTAGGCCTCAAAGGTTGAACATTTCCTACTCACATGGCGGTCCCAAGGCATTGGGCACCATCCAAGCGCACTATCGTTGACAAAGGGTTGGCGACCAAAACTCCAGGTTCCTCCGTCTTGGTATGATGTCATGGTCTTAGGATGTGATGGGCTTGCAGAATGAAACCAAGAAGCTAGGAACAAGAAGCTACTAGGGGCTCCTGGCATCACTACGAACGGAGCAAGGACGCTACGAACGGGGCTCCAGGCAACCAATCTGCATCACATGCTAAAACCCTTCAGTTTTGATCTCCCAGGTGACAACATCTACCCCGATGGTGCGGCCTTCAATCCATACACCATCACACGCTGGTGGGGCGATGTGAAGACCTCAGCGGCCAATCAATGGCCAGCCGTTTGGACGATGGAAGCAAACCTGCAGAAACTACTAAGTTTAGCTTAAATCTAGGTGTTTTGGTTGAAGCCGATGTGGATTTTTTGAGGTCTACATGCCGCACGCAGAGTTGCAACGTCCTTGGCACGTGATCACAGGACGGTGCTTGGTAGATCCATAGCTCCTTCTCATGTAGAGTTTCAAGAGACAGTTAATTTGCTTGGCTGGTTACTTACTTGTCAAAAGCCCGACGTGACAGCTAGCCTGCAGGAAATCATGACTGGTGGACAGACGCGCTGTATGAGCGTGCCTACACTGGTTGCGCTGCCAACCAAGAGAAAGGCGTGAGCAGTATGGACCAGGTTTTGGTTCTGTCCGCAACGGGTTCAATGACTGGTGATTCGTTGCAAGGAAGAACTCACTGCAAGGTTGTGGTCCATGCCAACAGGTTTCTTGAACAATGCGTGGATATTACGAATACTCGTAACTATTTATTCAGGTCTCGACCATCAATCAATATTAATCCTGACTGACAACTTGCACTCTTCAACTGTTGTTCTGTAGGTTGAGAAATTCAGATCAACAGACAGTGACAGGTACAGGTCTCGCACAAAAAACAAGTCCATATACTACATATACACAGATTGCTCACTTGGAATGATAGACAGCTCAGAGGGTTTTGGTGGCTGGTTTGCCACGCTCAAGGGGTGATGATGTGTTGGAGTTTTCTCTACCAGACAGGTATTTCTTGGAGCATCGGTTTCCTGGCCTCCGGGTTGAGGATTCCGCATTTGGTTCACTGTTCTACCTTAAGTCACAATAGACAAGGCCTGCTGGCCTGCTCTGAAGCTCTGACGGCACAGGCGGCCACTGGCAGTTGCCGCACTTTTGGTACAAGATGCTTGTCTCAGTCCCCGGGCTGTGTGCCCGGGGCATGTTTGGACACCTCCCCAATACCGCTGAAGGGTTTCGACACGAAAAACTGCATGCTCATGATGTGGAGGGTACACCTGTGACCCCTAAAAAACAACAATATAGTATATAATGTACATACGTATTTCAAGGATTGAATACATTGGTGGGATAAGCCCGGATTATGCAAGAAAGATGCGTTGGTGGCCAACGTTCAGAGCAATTCTCACAAAAAGCCTGCTAAGCCATGCTAAGCCTATGGAAACCATACCCTGCAGACCCTGGTTTCTCATAGATTCTGGTCGCGTTTGATTTCTCAACCTTTCACGGACCCAAAGCAGGAATTGGGATCAACAGTGGGATCAAATTCAAGCGTTTTTCAGGGGAGGGGCGGAACAGGTCTCTCCCCTTTTAAATAGGTTAAATAGACTTAATGTAGCCTGTTGAATGATCACCCCCCAGAATAAGCCTGGTAGGGGTCTCTTCCCCATCAACCGTCTACGTTCGAGAATCGAGCCGAATGCTACGTCAAGACGCTTCGTGATGGTTCACCAGCTCCGCAGCTCAAGGAAAAGCTACACCGCCAAGGGCCTCACAGTGGATGCCTTCTACATCGATACTCAGGCGCAGAATGGTAAAGAGGGGACATGTGTAAACCAAAACAATCCAAAAAATAGTTTTCACTCAAAGATGTCAACTAGCTAGCTAAGTACAACTATCTCATGAAAAACTTGTGTTCAACAAGTTTACCATCCGTTCAGATTTGCTGTACTGGATCCACCACCTGTAGGAAGTAGGACCTCGATGGACCTCGTAGAGGAGCGCAACGTACACCAGATCTTGTCAATTTGCTCACGAAGGCACTTCGTACTTCCTTCGTAGGCAAGTCATCCAGCACGTGAGTGGAGTTAAGTTACCCCTGAAACCATACTGTGAAAATCTGCCAAATACTTGTTCATAAATTCAGCAAAGCTGTTGTACTGATGGTCACACTAGATTTGTTCGCACATGTACAGAGATTGGCGAAGTTTCTCCGCAAGATTCTCCGCCAGATCTGGAAGGGCAGCCCCATTGTGGACAGCAAGTTGGGACCGGGGGCCCGTGTGGAGCCTCAAGTTGGGCCAATGAGAACGTTCCCTGCGCATGCAAATACCTCCGCCCTCAGGTGAAAGGGACCTTCTCCGCGGTGAAATAGAGTACACGGCAAGACCATGCCAAAGCCCTTATGAAGCAAGGCCACTGCCACCCTTCAGAGATTGTTTCTTATCGGTGGTTTGCTGGGTTCCATGACCGAGGTGAGGAACAGAAGCAGTGGCTTTTCTCTGGCCTGGCCGAATCAACAGCGGATTGGCGAATCGTGCTGGGACACCATCCTGTCTACTCGGCAGGTGGGGTTGCCATCCATTTCGCAGTGTTCCATGCTGAAAGCGAGACTGCCCAAGCACCGGTCCACAGACTTCTTTGGGAAAGTCCATGTGGATATACGGTTTATACGGGTCTACCCGAGGTTTGCTCACTGTGATATGAGTTGTAGTGGGTATTGGGTCTTTATAGCCCCACCACCCCAAAAACGATAGGGGACGCCGTAAAAGCGATACCCCAAAACGATACCCACCTCAAAGTGTCAAGACCTGGAAAAAAAAAAAAAAAACGATAGGGGACGCCTTAATTTACTTATGAATACAGCCCAAACCAATAATAATAAGGACTCAGACTCGCCGCCCTTTCCACCAGCTGGATAATTAGGTACCCTACATGCAAGAAGCAGAGAAGAGACTACACGAATCCCAACGAGAGGTCATTGACATTGATATGGTTCCTAAAGTGGTGTAACTGGGTTCGTTTTGACTACGATGAGTTTTAGCCTGTTTTAGCCATTGGATGCTCCAGGTGCCCATCCCAGCCAGTGAATGCAGATTTTTGTGGTCTCGGTAGCGCAGTCCCACTCCGGGCTACACCCTGTATCAGAAGCACTTAGTATTCAGGAAAGATCGTTCAAGTATCCACTTCAGTAATTAAGATCTTACCATGTACCTCTTCATCTTCCCACCTGTCTCCACGGTTCGTTTCGGAAAGATCTTACCATTTCGGCTTTTGGGGTCCCATTCGCGAGGCAACCATGGCGTGACCGAGGTCTTGCTCAGCCACGCGGATGACTGACTGTGCTGCCAGGGGTGTTTTGTTCGCTGGACAAATAAAAGGGTAAAGAACATTAAAAAAAACCTCTGAATTTCACCAACCAAGAACTATTGACTAGCGTTATCTAGCGTTTAGCTATGACATGCTATGACATTGCTATGACTGTGATTGGACCAGTTGCGACTTGTGGACGGAAGAGGATGGCTGGCCGAATGGTAGTTCCATATACGGCATGAACAGATCTTGCGCCACTTCGCATGGCATGAGGTGAGTTGGACCCAAAGTTGCGAGAGCTGGGAGTGCCAGTGTACTTCGCAGGCCATGATCACAGCACCTGGTCAGGCTGCACCAGGTCGTGTTTTGGGCGGTACTCCTCTCAGCCTGGGCGGGGAAAAGTGGCAGCTTGAGAGAGTCAAACATCTTCCAAAATCATGGTGATCCTGACAATCCAAGACTCCAAGATCCAATCACCCGCAAGGTAAACGGCGTGCACCATGTACAGAGCGCAAAAGTTGGAATATCTCACCTCAGTGCTCTTGGACTCCGCCGCATAATTAGTCGCCCTAGTCTTTACACACTGAGGTAAGCAGGTTATCTACTGGGAAGGCATGTCCTACGTGATCAGTGGCTCTGGCGGTGCCACTGCCCGGGCGCGCTCCAACCAGTATCCCGAAGGTGTGCTGCTTGAGCGGTGCGAGCAGCGCAGCGCGAACCGGGCGGAACCCACTCCAATGCAGGTGACCAGGCAGTAGGATGTTGAACGTCCTCAAGCGTATGTCTTCAACAAAAGTGTAAATCTCTGAGGGCAGCAACTGCCAATGCCCGGAAAGGTGTGGTTCTTGGTGAAGGGTTTGGTTTGATTGACCTCCCTGAGTTCTCAGAAATGTCACTGTTCCATGAATGGCTGCTATGCACGTGAGAACACTCCATGAACAGACCCAGAGATTTCCAGACATCAACGAGGAACCGGCCTTGTTTGTCAAGACGCTGGAGAGGCCCCTCACAAAGAGTGCTGGATAAACCCTTTGCTGGTGACCATGAGCAAGCGATTCATGAACATTTGCTTTGTTGAGTCCCTAACATTCGTGGGAACTCACAAATTGTGGGAGCACCTGGTTGTACAGAATCCGCAGAACATGTTAGAAATCTTCCACAGATTGTTAGATGATGTCTGGCCAATTCCCAGACGTCCTGGCCCGTCTTCATCGGTCTTCAATTCAAGGCTCTTTTTGTTGTCGTTTTGTCTCGTCCCACATTTGCATGATTTCTTTGTGTCGCGTTGGGCCACTGTGCTCAACCGGGCCATAAAACCGTCGGACAGTGGTCATTTTGTCTCGTCATGTCATGCCGTGGACATGGCTTCGCAGGGAGCTTGATGCACTACTTCCCTGACAATGGCTTTGTGGGATTGAACCTTGGATCAAAGCGTCACACCCGAGGCGTTTGGATCCGAAGGCGAGGGTTTAGGGAGCAAGAAGTTGATTTGAAGGGTGGGTGTTGGGTTCTCAACCAGACAAATATCTATATACATACACACAACTATATACACATTCATATATAACATATAATTACACGGGTAAAACAAAGACTCAATGAACCAACTGGACAGTACTAGTTTGACACGAGATGTCGAAGGATGTCTCTTTTTCTGCAGAGATACTTTCACCCCAGTTGACTAAATCATCCACGTAGTTTCATCTCACGTGTCGTTTTCCAACACACAGACTCTCCTGAAGTTTACCCTGAATCTTCCACAAGCTGTCAACTGCGAGTCACCTGACTTGCTGGTGTTTGTGACGCAAATGGATCTGAGGTCAGTGTGCAACAAGCAAAAAGCCACTGTCACCATCTACAGCTCAGGTCGGGTATTTCAGCTCAGGTCAGGCGGATTGCTTTTTTGTGACTCGAAAAAGTACATGGACAGGCCAGGACATGTACATGGACAGGCCAGGACATGGCTTTTTCAGAAACTCGCACGGCCAACCCACTGACTTGCAGATATCTATGGATGGACTAAAGTGCCCTATCCTTTGACAGTGAAACAGCACAGCTGCGTTTGTTTTTCTTTGAGAACCCAGAACTAATCCATAATGCCACAGCGAGGGATCAGTAGTCACTCACTGGACTGTCGAACACACAGAGAATCCGGTCAAAGCGATTCGCAGATGGTTCAAAGCGATTGGAACTCCCTGAATGCGCAGGAGGCGATGTCCAAGCCACCTGGAAAGTCAGAAATGCCCAGAAACAGACGCAGCGTGGGGCGGTCAAGCCGCAGCCTCGCTTGCAGTCCAAGACGGTCGGAGAACCCAGGGCTGAGGGTTTTATTCTAGCTCCAGATCGAGTCGTTTTGTCTCAGAATAGGATAGTGACTAGTGACTCAAAGAGTTGTAGTGAAGGGAACGACAACACGAAGGGTGGCAGGGGTGGTTCTTTTTTTCAGACGTTCTCGCCGTTGGTTTGTAGAGGTTTGAATTCACGCATGGTGTTGTTATATTTCTAAACAGGCAAGTTTGGGGAGGCCTGAATGCTCTGCATCAAACAGGCTAGTAGAAGATTTCTGATCAAGGGTTGCGCATATGTGCCTCCAAGAAGTAGCTCTGAACGACAGATGCGAGATTAGGATATATTTGAGTGGATTTGTTTGGCGATGTTGGGTGATGATTTTATCAACGGGGAGCCTGTCGTTGGACTCGTTGGACTTTGAATTGTTTTGGACCCCTGATGAGTCTTCCCGCATGTGTGGCATGTCGACCAGGCCGTTTACAAGGCCGCTGCCTGCCACGAGGTCCAGCTGAAGGCGCCCCACGAGGTCCACCTGGTTGCTGGATTCCATCCCCCAAAAGAATGGACCCCAGACATCTCAGAAAAGGCGGGAAGTCCGACGATCAGTGTATACCAGCTTGGGGCAGGATGGTAATATGTCATGCCCATCGGATGGCTCTCCTGGTCTACGGGTACAAGCGGTATTGCCCCCAACTTTGATGCTTGTGGTCCCTTGTGGTCGCGGCGTTCGAGCACCAGAAGATGGAGTCTCACCACAGAAGAACTCTCAAGGGATTGCTGGGCGGATCTGATTTGGGGCTTCACAATGTCTTGGCCGCCTTCACCTGGGTCCATCAAGGACTTTTTGCCTACCGAAGACTGTGGGTTGCCACTGCAGGATAGAGGCCAGGATTTGGTGTCCCCCCTATTACTCACTCAGAGGTAAGGTGTTGGTTTAACAATAGTGGGTCATGGAGTATCATTTGGTCATAGACAGTCATAGTACCTTCGCTTTGAAAAAGCAGTTCCTCTGCAGGTGAATGTCAATCGTGGAAGGTTCGGCCCGTCTCGCCCTTCCTTCGGGTCCTTCCTAACCGCGGCCAGTCCGTGGAGAAGTGGTGCTCTGCGGATGGCTGCAAGGTGGAGAAACGTGGGCTCCGATGACGTTGACTTCAATCTAAAAAAGGAAGTCAACAGGATAGATGATCGGTGATAGGCCATGATTGACAGACGTCTACGGGTTTTGATTGGTCAAACTATGTCAAATTGGCTAAATATATCTAAATATGTTAAATGGCCAAGTTGATGATTGACATGGCGCATGCGATCATGCTGGGCTTGGCAGGACACTTCACTATTTGGTGACTGTTAAGAAGCTTATGTGTTTGATCGGAACCTTTATTTGGTTGGGCACAGCGGTTGAAAATTATATACATATATAATTGGATTTCTGATTCTGAGGCTCAGCTGAGCAACCGGCAAAACATGCGATGACTAATTTAGCAAAGAGCGGCCGTGTTTTTCAGCAATTTGGCTAAAACCTGCAAAAGCGATAGGCCCCCCTCAAAAGCGATAACCTTGCTCAATCATGTCCTTCGAATTGACAGTACGTTTTGGCACATGCTCAATTGGGTTGCTGCTGTGGATTTGCAAGACAACCCCTTCCTAGCAGCTATTGCAGGTCTTGGCAGATAGCTCGGGCAGCTGCGCAGATTTCTGCGGGGAGCAGACCTTGAGGTGTTCGAGGCAGGGCGTTAGGCTTGGTTGACATCATCACCTCAAAAGGTTATGTGCATGGTGAGTGGTGCAAAAAGGGGTTATATGAGTATGCGTCATGGGGAACTGCCTTAAGGGTTGTGGCCTCGAGTGGTGTTGATTATGACTCGGTCTCACATTCACATGTTAGTTGTATATCTAAATAGTGTTCTCACCTTTTGAGAAATTGCTCTTCTCGCAACCAACATGTACATATGTTTTCTCCATTCAACCTCATTGTGGCATCACTGCCACGCATATATAGTATGTAATTGAGGAGGTGTGGACATACATATGGGCACGATCCACCAAAGAAGATCAAGGTTGTAGCCGCTCACAACAAAGCACTGTTATTAGCACCGCAACCCATGACACACACGCACACCACTGCCGGACACAAAAACTTAATCAACCCATCTTGAGAATTTAGTGATTTGTAAGACATTCTACGAGCATGCCAGGGCTTCATACTTAAAGTTTGCTTACAGCTGTAAAGCAAACCAAGCACCGCCCTTCTGATCCACCTGTGATATCCAGCAAATGTTGATTGGATATAAAACAAACTTGCAAGATCAATAAATACTCCAAACTGTGAAACACAGTTCAACATCATTTGCATGTGACTCTGAGGATGTGTATTCTTTGATGTAATTTCTGAGGATTTGACCGGGCTGGTCTAGTTATGCGATTTCCCCACCTCTTTTGAGGTTTGCTCATGTTTGCTTCTTGACCCAGCTGAACAGTCCTCATCTGGGTATCCCGTGGAGTGGCGCCGGGAGCGTGGTCCTGGCGGGGGGCATCCGGCATCAGTCAGGGCCTGGGCGCAGCCCGAGGAGGAGCAGGACTGTGTTCGAAACCCGAGTGGTCGACGTTGCAACAAGTGATCTCCGGACTCATAAGGACCCTACCAGCAGAATTGTTAAAATGATTTATGAATTTGGGATGCCTTTGGCATGAGAAAACCTTTGGCATGAGGATCCAGGTCCGCAGTTTGCAGTTGCAGGGTAGAGAACTGCATGGCAAATCACTAGTGAAACAAAAAAAAATATATACACACACACATTATATAACAGGTTATAACAGGGGAATCCAAGAAGGAAACAGAACGATTTCACTTTGTACCATACTCCACTTCAGGAATATCCCCAATGTGTTTTTGCACATACATATCCGATGGGCGACCGCATGGGTTTGTTTGGTTGCTTTTGATCCATCGAGCCCTTTGGAAATACTGCTGTTACTCTATTCGCCCATTCCGCAGGATTGCACCGAAGGTGCTTTGCTGCCCTGTGATGTGAAAGTAACAAATTCCAGCTGCCTGGCCTTTGAGTTGTCACAGCCTTTTGGGACATGAAACATTCAGTCTACTGTAGTCAGTTTGTTGGCTGACACCAAGACTCAGCGATGCACAAGCTCATGCACTTGGTCCAGATGTTTGCAACCGGTTGATGTGTCACACGATGCCTATGCACATGATCCTGCGTCCAGCTTCATCAGTGGTGAGTTGATATAATTCCCTTGTTGCTAGTCATAGTTCCACTGGTGCCATGTTGGAACACAGGGTTTGTACTAGGCTTGGAAATTGAAGTGTGAGGGGCTGTATGAGCGGCAAATTCACAGCTGACCAGGACAAGTCCTGTATTTTCCTTTGTTTGTTACTACTAGCGTGGCACTTGTTACTACTAGCGTGGCACTTGTTACTACTAGCGTGGCACTTGTTACTGCTGGTAAGGCACCTGTTACCACTTTGGGAAGCACAAACATCGAAAAATACTCCAATGTGACCTCCTGCGGGTCTTTCGCCAGCGCCAAGGTTTGATCTGTGAATGTGCAGCCACCACTGCCACATTCCTCCCTTGAGACGGTCTGAGCAGTGGAAGCGTTTTCTTTACTTGCATCACATGAAGGACACATGAGGTTTTATAGGATTGTATAGGATGAAAAACAGCTCTGTGAGGTTTTACAGCCTTTGTGAAAGGATGTTTTTGGGGAGAACATCCAAACACGCAACAACGTCTACTGCTCTCATGATTGATGCTCAGAGTGTGTGTGGTTGTTCAGACACCTCTAGCCCGGCAAAGGACAGTTAACAAACAACACTGTTACAACAAGGGATGACTTGTCATCCAGATGGACCACATGAGACGTGGTGAGAGGTCCATCTTCTTTGTGGGGGCCGTGTCTCGGCACTCGGGTGGCCCATTTGTGACTTGAGGCTGTGAAGGTCGGAGATCAGCACCAACGGACCTACAAATGAGCAGGACCAGCACACCTTTTGCCAAGCTTACCTAGATCTTGTTTCCAAGTGGTAGATACCTTCCTTACCAACTATATGCTCTCAGGAGACCAAAAGACACCAAAGTCCATGTTCAACGAAGGCATCAGTCCTCTCTCCTTCACAGTGAGCAGATCAAGTCAAAGTTCAAGCGGTGCACGAGAAGGTTCACCCCAGTTTTCCCGCACGCCACAAGGGCGGGCATGCCTTGGATTGGCTACGTATCGCCGGTGCGCGGTAGCTTCACTGAGCCAAGGTAGAACGATCTCCCGGAAAGGGAGGGTTTGTTCGGATCGCGATCATCGTGTTGCTTCAAAGAGCAACTGCCAAATTTGCATGACCGTTGCCGTGCAATCCTTTTCTTGCAACGGACCTGCAGCAAGCGCACGTTGACACGCACGTGAATATATGCATGCTGCAAGTTCGCATTTGCATCGTTTTTTGCATTCAGAGCTATCCTGGCATTGGGAATTGTGGAAATATGGAACCAATGGAGTCACGTATAGCTTCCTGGTTTGTGTTGTTTCAACACAGGGTCCTGTGAATGCATATGACAAATTCAATCACTTTTGTCGCGGTCGAGCTCGGCAGGAGCCTCAAGGGGCGCAGCTGACAAAGAAATGTTGGATCCTTTTTCAAAAGCACCATCCCCAGCATGAGGCATCTTAGGCTTTGACAGGCTGGTCATCAATGGAGTAAATAGATGAATCAAGCTAAGCTTGGTGATGATTGGGATCGAGAAGGGGACATGACTACTATGACTCAGACCTTGATTTGCATTCCTTTACATTCTCGTTTGTATTTGGTCCCCAGCTGATCCAATTCCCAGAGATGTGGATTGTTGGCTTGGGTTCATTTAACGCCAACACGCCTCGCCTCAATAAGAAGGCTCTTCCATGCTCGAGCTCGAAAAGCGCGGAATGAAGAAAAGTCTGTTCGGCTGCACTCTGGGTATCATTTCCGCCTAAGATGCGGGTGCAATCGTTTGGTGTGGTTTGGGGAATTTTGGGGAGTGCAATTTCTCAAATCACTTGGCCTTTTGCTGGATAATTATACTGTGCGGATCCTGCCATGTTCAGGGCATGTTCAAGGCAACTCGGAGATGTTTGCCAGGAGAGGAGAGGAGCGAATCCAGACTGTTAAGGATCCTGACGATTGTGTTTTGCCATGTTCGTCCGGTATGTGACTATCTATATATACAGTAGCTCAGCAAGGGAAAAAGAAGGAGTAACGGTATTGGTTACTAATGTGCATTTAACGAAATTTGAAAAGTAATCATTAATCAATCGTTTATAAAAGTTTCGCATTTTAACAAAAAACATGAAATAGAGTAATCTTGACATAGATCCAAAACAAAATCCATATCAAGCAAAATCAATCAACATACGAACAATAAAAAAGAAACAAGTCCAGGACTTCTTAACACGTTTGAACTAGAGAAAGACCATGATGCTGCAAAGCAAATTGGATACGACATCACAAAAACAATATAACTTGAGCTTGCATGCTGCAAGAAAGCCAACAGCTGACATAAACAGATCTGAATTGATGATATATGTGATTGACTACACATGATAAGGAGAAGACGCGAAGAGGGAGCGGGGAGGAAGAAGCCTAGAGACCGGTCTCCCATACCACATATCGTAAATCTTTGCTTACATCAGTTTGTTGCAGCCATCGAAGGCCGCCCTTTGTCAGGTGCCAGCGCCAAAGCCCAAGGCTAAGGCCAAGGCCAAGCCGCAGGCGGGTTTTTCGGTCGAAGAGAACCACCCAAACAGATGGGTGTACAATGGTGTAGCGTTGTGTATGTGAAGCGTGAAAGGAACTCCGCCTTCAACACTTAAAACTACTGTTTGATAGGACAACCAGTTTGAACAGCGTGGAATGGGTACGACAATACAGCTTTATATATACAGGCCAAAGCTTAAGTCGTTTCCTTTTTCATCTTTTGCAGACCCCTACAGGAAAACCTGTACTCAGGAAGTCGTGCCTTTTGCATGATTCTGCTTGTGATTGCTATGTGTTTGGCAATCGTCGTTTTCAACACATGTTTTTTCTTTTCAAGATGCGGTGCCCTGTAGGTTTGCTTTATTTGGGTTGATGTTGGGTGGGTGTACATTTCTTCAAAGAAGTGGCGGTGCCATTGCTTTTTGAAGTTTTGGGTGAGACAGCTGTCATTTTGTTGGAGATTGGGAGATCGGTTTCGCCATGATCCTGGAGTGTGGCTGTTGCAAAACCCAGTGAGTCATGCAAGGCGTTTGTTTGTCCAAAGGAGTGTAGTCCCACATTCAATATCTTCAGTAGGAACAAAAGTGACTGTGGGATTCCGCAACAGAGCGGTACCCATTTCAATTGGTTTCTGTCCAAACGTCGGTCGTCAGTCCGAGAGGCGAAAGGCCTTGGTTTGAAAGGCTCGCAGCTGCTCGGTGGCCATGGCGCCTTGGAGAGAGCTGGAGGGTGGCCTTGGGCCAATCTGTAAGGTTTAGTAGAAAGCCGAGTGGAGAACATGGGAGAAAAGAGAGTACCAATATGATGCAGAAAACTGGAGGATTTGCTGAGTGGAAGGTATTTTCTATATTTCCCTGTCCTTTCTTTGAGAGTGTTGGTCAGTGTAAGAACTAGAGATCCGAGCCATAGCCAATGAGATGTTATTGGTGTGGAAAGAAGGAGTTGTACTTCGGACCTGACGACCAGAGAAGACGTTGAGTTCCGTCACAGCATTACAGCTTTGTTGTTTGTCACTGCTTGGCGTGGTGGTGCCCAGGTGTCCGCCATCTACTGACCACGTCACTTGGCTTCTGGTTTCGGGCCTGGTGTAGTGGTGATTCTGGAGCGCACAGATCGTTTTACAACTCGTCATGTTTGATTTCAGGCTCTCGAGAATGGACGTCCAAGAACATATTGAGACAAATGAGCGAGCCTGGAGACTTTGACAGATCATGGCTAATGGGTTATTTTACTCCAAAGGGAACAGAACCAATGACCAAGATAGGACTCACCCGAGTGCAGTCAAACATGGGCTGTGCGTAGAAGAGCTTCGTCATCCTGGGAAGCCTACTGGACCATGTCAGTGCGGCGGCGCAGCGGGCCTGAGGTGCGACATTTGCAGCAAAGGAATCCTCGGGCCACGGTTCCGGTGCATCCACTGTCCCAGCTACAATGCATGCTGCTTGACTGAAACAGGTCGAGCGCCGGGGACTGCTGTCCAAGGAATACCTACTGATTGATTGACATCATCTATGGACAGGGGATCTTGAGGTCAGTTCACCATTTGGATGAGGTTGGTTGTCTTGAAATCAGAGGCAAACGGAAGGGTAGTGCACAGAAAGTGTTTTGCAAAATCCTATTCTACTAACATCCTGGAAGGCGCGGGACATTCGTAGAACCCAAGGCTATTCGTGGACAGTTCGTGGAATGGTGGGCCAGTAGGAGAACTGACTGCAACGAAATCCCAGAAACCTTCGCAAAACTTCGTGGAAGGTAATTTTGGTGCACTAACTTCGTATAGGCGATTTTTGCTGACCCCTTTCTCCACACACCCTCCATTTAGCCTTCATGATGGGGTGATTCATTTGCTGATGGTGGGTTTCTTGGCGGCCAGGCCCAGCTCTTTGCTGCTAAGTATGCATTACATTAGTTTCCCAAGATCTATTACCTATATAACTATATAAGTCTAAGTGTAATAAGACTGTTTTCTATGGCCCTGCCAATGTCAACTTCTTGCAATAGAACATATTTTCTCTGAGGGACATATACGCTGCTCTTGCTCTTGGCAAATTTCCCGGTGGTCACAAGGATCAGGTTTAAACCACCGCGCCGTCGCCTCTCCAGCATAGCAGTGTTCCCCCGCGGCCCATGAAGGCCTGAAATGCGAGAGCAAGTTGGGCTCAGTGCATCCAGAAGGACGATCCGTGGTTGATGGGTGAAGATGGCTGACAGTTTTCGGGCCATGTAACGATTGAGGAAGGCGGCCAAAAGATACCTGACACCGTTTTCGATGGCGAGTATGGAATGTAGAAAGAAGCACAGAAGCAAATGGTCCTCTCCTCTCTGCTAAGAATGGCACAGGGCACATGAATTTCATATGTTGGCAGGACATGTCTTCGAGATCATGTTTGAGGATGACATTGATTGGGAGAAGACGCTTGGTGCAGCATTAACATGTTATGTTTCACAAGCAAGATGAGCTCAATGTGGAGTTAGTTAATTATTTATATATATATATGAAACATAGGGTTGATCTTGGCCCTCTTGACTCTTCAGAGGATCGTTGAAACCCTCGTTTTGTTTTTTTTGGATTGATGCATGACTCTTCAGCGCTTCATGTTCCTTCATGTTCCTTGGCCTTTGGAGACTCTTCGGTTGTGAGTTGTGAGTGTATCTTCTTGAAGCTGTCGCGAAGCACCACGAGCTGTCAGGGCCGATGTGCAGCTCCCCAAGAACCTGCGGGCGAGACTGCGTTTCGAGGCGCTGCAGGACTGGGAGATCGCGGCAATCCTCGATGGGCTGATGTGCAGCTGTAGAACAAAAAAACTTGGAACTTTTTCCTGGAAAGATGTGGCGTTGTCATTTGTTTGATTTTGTT